CATGCAAGGTTCGTGGAGGATGATTATCGAAAATGGTTGTGCATTCGAGAACATCTCCAAATGTAGCACAAATACAAGTACTCAAGATGCTATGCTCATTAGAGATGAATTTTGTAAATATTTTAATAATGAAGGCTCAGTGGCATGGCAAAACGATCAATGTTACTACATCTGAATATTACCTTGTTTCATTTATAATATAATTCGTATATTATGTACTCCACAAAATGTTTTTTTTACCACTAAGTAATCGTTATTTGTATACTACACGTGCAAAAGTAATAAATTACTCTTTTTTAAGTGCAAACTAATTTTCGACAGTTTCTCTTTCCTACTTTCCCAATAATCGTAACATGATATTTTTTGGTATCCCGGTTCAGTTAAATAATAATTATTCTATTTGAATAAATACGTCTTGGCTATATTGTGCTACCAAAATCATTTTCGTTTTATTATTTTTATACATTATACATTTATTATACATTATTACTAACGTCGTTGAGCAATAATTCAGTGTGTAATAACTGGTGAATTTTTAACATTATGTTGCGTCTGCGGACTTGCGGCAACTCTCGTAACTGGCTGGCGACCATTGAAGTGAAGTTGTCAATTTCGTCAAGAACAAGAGTTTGCAATGGCATTGCTGGTCGTGGGGTCTGCAAGGCCACCGCTATCTGCTTCATCACGTCTTGTTCGCAGTCAGTATTTTTTCGTTTTCTTTTCAATTCTAAAAATGAAAGAATGATTTTATACATTCTGCATTATTAGGAAAAATTGATGTAGCTAGCTGTAATAGTACTAACAAGTGAAAGATAATACACCTTATGAGCGAAACATACCTTTCGATGCATCAACGGCATCGTTGACTTCTCCGTCCACATGGATTTCCACATCATCGTTGTTGAGGTCTTCATCACGACTCGGCATATTTGAAACTGTCCTGAAATGCAATAAAATGAAATATATTGATACTAAATGCTAACTGTCTCCAATATTTCAGTGAATACTTTTGTGAAGTATACTAACTCTTTTTCCAAAAAAGTGTCCCGTAAGAAAGACAACAAGTTGTAATACTGCCACTTCTTACGAGATGACTTACTTCCTGATCCACTTGGCAACTTCTCAAGGGAAATAATTTTCATGTAGCGATCCCTCAAGTGTTTCCATTTTTTCTTTACTTCATCGACAGAACATTCGCCTGTAATAATAAAATCGTACATTTTGTACTGTTAAATCATTTAAATTGTATTGTTTTTTTCTACACCGAGCATGCTAAAAGGAAGACCGTAACTGCCATGGACGTTGTCTACGCCCTGAAGCGCCAAGGAAGAACTCTCTACGGCTTCGGCGGTTAAATGTAGACGGAAGACGACAGTTTTTACTACGTATACAATCTCTCTCCCCCTCTACACACACACACACACACACACACACACACACACACACACACACGTACCATTTGTCGCATCAGCCACTTGCTCCCAAAGCTGTTGTACAGTTCGTCTGTCACGTTTTGCTATATTTATTTTTTGGTTCCACAACAGCTCTCGTGCCGACACTTCTGCAATTATTAGTTTCTCAAGGTTTCGCCCCAGGCTCGGTGTTAGCAGCTCTTCGCTTGTCGGAAGATGCGACTTTGTAACAAACAGTTCTGCTCCGTCAATCGCACTTCGACACACAATGTCTCCATTCTCTATAAGATATTAAAATTGTTACATTCGCTTAAATAATATTATATCATTCCTTTCATATTTTACTTACCACATTGGGGGTACAAATAGAGGGTGTTCTCGTCACAAACAATCCCTGGATAATTTGCCCAACATTCATGGGACGGTATTTCTTCCTCCTCGAGAATTGTCTTGCACATTCCGCATGTGTGTACTTTCTGCAATAAAAAAAATATCAATATTATCTGGTTTGTCATTCGAAAGTTCGGTTCCAAGTCATAAATATTTATAAGAATTGAAATAGATAATTTGTTTGCACATGTTACGGTATGTTTGTTTTTCAAAACGTAAAAAAAAAATACTTAACCTCCAATCTTAATGATTGCTCGGGGGGGTATCAATCGCCCCGGATTCGCGATTGTCCTGTATTAGGGTGGTTCGAAGGACCAGAGGGGCAATCCCCTCACAAATGCAAGCGAAGTTAATTACAATGAAAACGGGACAAGGCAAGCGAAGCGACTCACCGTATCGCAGCCCGGCGCCCTCCTCGGGTGGTCTCTCGGTTGTTCTCGTCTGTCCTCTCTGGTGGCGAATCCTCCTTTTGATAGCGAGCGGGAGGCGTGCAGGCAGACAAGGTAGCGGGCAAGCAAGCAAGCGAGCAGCAAGCAACACAAAACGGGCAAGCAGGCACACGCCGTCATAACGAATTCTTCGAGCACTCGACTGTCGCTCATGCTCCGTCTCAACGTGTCGGCGATTCTTACGAGAGTAACGTGCTCCGGAACTCTCTCGGCTCGCGCTCCTGGAAGTACGGCGCGAACGAGTACTATTGTCCCAATAATTAGGCCTGCCGCCCGTGGGCGAGCAGCACGAGTCGGGTGAGTCGCGCGAGTATTGACACCTGTCGCGGTCCGCCAACGTTTCGCGCGAATCTCAACCCGACGATAACTTTACGATTATGAGCTTACTGACTAATATACGAGTATCAACGCAATTCAAACATATCAAACATTACACAAGTGCGACTAAACTACTATCTTAGAATTATGTACACTATTTACATGTGAGCGCCAATGATTATAAACAATCATATATATATATATATATATATATATATATATATATATATGATTGTTTATAATGTGTTATAAACAATTGTTTGTAATATATATGTATATATATATACCGGGTGTCTCAGACCACCCGTATCACCCGATTTATTCGTAAACGCAACATTTTAGAGAAAAATGTTTCAGACCAAAGTTGTATGGTTTCAAAGGGTACATAAGATGGTGTCATTAGTTTCACCTTAAATAGTTGCTCGAAGGTCACGTAAAGGTCACCTTTAATTTTTTTAATAGAACTACCTACTTTTTATTGCATATTCTTGTAGCCTATCTCGAGGGCTTTCCAAAACACTATAAGAAAGTATTTTTTCATTAAGAACTTTTGGAATTATAAGGCTTGAAAGTTCTAGGCACCATCTTATGTACCCCTTGAAACCATACAACTTTAGTCTAAAACATTTTTCTCTAAAATGTTGCGTTTACGAATAAATCGGGTGATACGGGTGGTTTGAGACACCCGGTATATATATATTACTTTTATGATTGCTATCTTAACATTTTTTTATTAAAATCATTATAGAAACATAAATATACACTAACCTTTGGAATCTCCACTCCGGCCATCGTTAAATTTCGCTCACTTGTGCGATGCCGCCGATGCCGCAAATGAAGTTGAATTGATCTAACTTCAATGCGGCAACGTAGGAGTAGTTCAGAAGCCCCTAGATTCTAGTTCCTTCCGAACTGCCGCGCTGCTGCGCGCGGCATTTGCCGCGTCCATCAGTAGGCACCTTAAAGTTGCATCTCTGCGCATCCCCACCACTGGCTGGCTGTGGCTGGTGTTACGTCCCGATAGATCGCGGCCGCGAAGGAGGCGGTACTCGGATCGCTTATACGGGACTAGTCGCTTTTCGGGTTATCAAGCCAAGGGGCTCTATCCGGGGATACCTGCGACCGAGGTAATTCGCTATCCAGACGCTCGTTACCAAATCGTTTGCCCGATCCGCACCCTCACTGGGAGATTTAGATTCGGAAATTCTTCACCGTACCGTTGATTCAGAGGATTCGTCAGAAATCGTTCAAACGGTTCTTCTACTCTAGTGCATGCGTAACATTCGAAAGCGGGCCGACAGTCGGCTAGAACCTTACTGCACTCGCTACACGTGGGGAACTCTATTCGCGGCCCGTATTGCACGAAATGCCTGAGAACGCCTTCGAAATCTTGCCGGAAGGGCTGGTATTGGCCGAGCTGGCAATCCTCACAAATAATGACCCCCGTAGTTTTATTTTGGAAAAACAACGACCAGACACAGATTCCCGTCATTAACCATGCTCTGATAGGGCTAGGGGGTGAAACTACCTCCGGAGGCTGCCGATTTACTGGATGTCCGGGGCACATGAACAATGGGGTGCTAAACTCTAGTTTGGGAAATGGCAATTATCGTAGATTCGCGTTCCAAATATTGGTCTCCTCCCTCGTGTTCCACCGAACGTTTTACGTTAAAGAATATTTCACAGCACGTGGTACACGCGGAGGGGCTCTGGATTTCTCCGATTACGACGTCGCACGAATCGCACTCTTCGACTTTGTATCGGTAACCGATATGCATATAATGGCGGACTAAGCAGTCGTAGCTGGCGGCGTTGTGGGCCCGTTAGGTCTCGAAAACACTCTTCACAGAGGTAGTGTTTGCTATCACGATTTTGATGGCAGATGGTAAAGACACACACGGCGCGCGATAACCAATTCCGCCGCGCAATTCTAGAGGCCAATGGGGTTAGTCGGCGCGCGGGGCGTTGCGTGCGCGGCTCGCTCATGCCGTTTGCTTAGCGCCTAGGGGCGTCGTCACTTACCTTTAGTCGAGTTCCAATGGGTGGTCCGCGGTGCCCCAGTGTTTTTGTGGTAAAGCGTCGAACCACAGGTGTAGAATCTCGGCGCGGCGCTGGATCAGGCGGATCCGGCGGGGGTCGTCCTTTTTGATTGAAGCGATGAATTCCCAAGATGGAACTGGTGGTGGGTTGTCGGAATCTCTCTCCGGTGTGAAGGTGATCGGGGTTAGCCGATAGTTCTGGGCCTTCCGGAATGCTTGGTAATCTGCTCGAGACTCGGCCTTGTCCAGTGGAACGTAGATGTATTGTATACTTTTAACGTTAATTTTGCGCACTGAAGTTACGTTTTCGAGTTTTGGTCTCGCATCCGCCTTGCACGCGGAATTCGCGACGAAATACTTTTCGTATTCAGGATCGGGCGCGTAATCGGAAAGGACTCCTAACAATGGATTCGGAGGGGTCCCGAACAAAAGGCGGTTGAGCCTGCGGGTGCGTACCTTGAGTCCGCTTCGTCGCGTCTTGGGCATTTGTTAACTACTGATTGAGGTTAAAAGACAAATTCGCTTCGGTTGACTCTCCTTGCTCGTGGCGAGAAAGCGTGCTGCTCGTACAGCACTGCCCCTCTCCAGACACCCACGGACGGTAGCGTGCCGCTCGTACGGCACTGCCTCGTACGCAGATGTGGCACAAGGGGAGGACCGGTGATTCGGATGCCTTATTGCAATTACTAGAATACCCACAGGCGGAGACGTGCCGCTCGTACGGCACTGGGCTCGTGTGTGGATGTAGTGTAAGTGGGATCAGTGGAGGATGTGCGAAGAGGTGTAAGAATTTGTAGAGTAAGATATTGTATAAAAATGATTGTATATTACGATAATTTTACATAGGACATCTATGAGCTAACATATGATTACAAAAGTAACAAGATTACAATCAAGAATACATATATATATATTTATATAATTGTCGAGTGGAACGAACGTATGGCGTATTTCTATATGACGCGTAATTCTATATGTAGTGAGAGAGCTGAAGGCTCTGGGTTTGGTAACGCACGTGGAGATAGGAAGATTCTCGATGTGGAAATAGGAAGGTTCTGGATTTAGAGAGACTCGAGAAGGATTCAGTGGTTACTTAACTGGAGAGTCCGTGATCGAGGTAGGAC